AATCACGTGAAGCCTTTTTGAAAAGTTTTTATTGCATTTTTGAACGAATCATGAAATCGCAATTTTTGAAATTTGAGCGTGTGGCGCAGCAGTAGGAGGTCTTTAGACCGAGCCAACCATAAATAGTGTCTTTCATCCAGGGACGAGTTCTTTAGCACAGATGAAGCACCTTGTATAGACTTTGAAATAAAAATTTGGGACCACCTAATTTTCCATCTTCAGTGAGTCAGATTTACTTTATTGTAAGTGAGGACAACTAAAATGATAATGTAATCTTTAAAAATCAAATATCAATGTTAAAAAATAGTTAAAGTTATTGATAATTTATGTACACATTTATTGAAAACGACACTAATAAGGTAGATGATTTGTGTAGTTCAAATGGATAATAGAGACATTTCAAAAGTTGCTCTAGTTTCAATATAAAGGATTGCCATCATCCGACTTTAATTCAATTGCTGTCACGTTGGATGGTTAGGTGTCTGAACTCTGAACGTATCGACAAAACTACACTGCTATAAAAATCATGTAAAGAAGTTTTTGACATGGAATGCGTTAGAAAAATGCACTTTCCTGTACTAAAAAATATGGAAACCAGTAGATGATGTTGAAAAAAAGATCTAATCACACATTGAGCATAATTATCCATTTTATTAAATTAATTTCAATGATAAAGTGATGGCCAATGCATTAGAACGTCTCAGGAACAAATGTTAAATCAGGAAGATTATTGTGTCATTGTTGCAATCATACTGTAAATCGTGAGAAGAAGTCTGTTGTCTATATATAGATAGAGGCAGTAAAACATAAAGATGCTGAAAAAAACATAAAAGTACATGCAACCTTCACAAAGATCTTTGACTCCTTTATTACTAATGATTGTGAAAAAATTAACGTTGCAATCATTGAAGTTTTGCAAAGGCTGATTCTTCATTGATAATTAAAGCCTTTTTCAATTTATATTGCAGTAAATAAAACTTTGATGCCATATATATATATATTTGTGAAGTTGCCTTATCAAAGGCAATAATGCTATGCACTCTGAGCGTGTTGCTTAAAAATTAGAATTGTCTTTTCTTTTATTCGTTTCATTGCTTCCTGTCACGAGATATTCAACGTAATGTTCAGGTAAATTAGGAAATTAGTTTTTTGGCTTTCATTTAGTTACAAAGGTCTAATTGTTTCTGTCAAAAGCCACTAATATGGTAAGCCCTTCCTTTTTCTTTTTCTTTTTTTTAATGGTTCTTCATCTGATGGTTTCCAACCAGGGCTGGAAATAGTACTTTAAAATCCGGATTTTCCTTTTAAAATTTTTAACTTCGGAAAAAAAGAGTTGCCGGATATTTTTCCTTTTTGTACAGATTTTCCATACGCGTTAAAAAAATATATCAAATTTAATATATATAATATGTCTTTACTTCAATGAACAGACAGAATCACAATTTTTATCCTTTGAATTTTCAGAAAAAAAGTATTGACTCAATTTAAATATTTATTTCAAAAAAGACTGCTATTAATTTATTAAATTTAAAAATATATATACTTTAAATATATATATTTACGTGTTTTATTTTCCCTTATTCAAAAAAATAAATTACAAATAAATAGTATATAGAACAAGAAGAATTAAATAATTTGACTACTGAAATTTGGGATGAAGCATTTATAGATGAAACAAATATTGATGAATCGGATATAGAGGATTCAGATGATTTGACAATTCAAGGCTCAGATGATGATGATACTTCAAAAAAATCAATAAAAAAAGAAAAATTGTGAATTAAGTGTAAACCATGTTAAAATGTCAAATAAAAAAGTGCATTTTAAAAATCAGGAAGAAGTTTTCATCATGAATGGCTAAACATATATAAATGGTTAAAATATGATGCAACAACGAAGAGAATGTTTTGCACAATTTGTAAAGCACATGGGAAAAAAAATCACTTTGCAAGAAATAATAATTACTTTAATTTTTATTTGTAGTGGCTCATTATCATCTTTTATATGCCAGGGGTTTCTAAATGTTTCTTCATCCTTTTAAAGAAAACCATATATATTATTTTCATAAGTAAAATAGTGGACAACAAGTAATTTAAATAATCAGTCCAAAGACTGTTCATAAATCATCTTATTTCTAGTAAAATTTGGTATACCTTTAATTTCATGAGGTCAATGTCAATTTTATTGATTCTTGTATGATTCTTTGGGAAACAATCAATCCCTGTAACTACATAAAAATATGAATAAATAAATATTAGATACTCTCTCTAATCATGATATAATATTAAAAAATTTAATTTATTATTTGATATCAGATTTGTTACAATTTAGCTGCACTTGACATAAGTGGTTCACCTCCTGTAACCAAGTTAAGATAACCAAGTTGAGATACTGAACATGTTAATTATCATGTTATGGACCATATGCATTCAAACATGTCAGGCATCTCTGCTACAGCAGTCATCTCCCGTAACAAAGTCAAAATACTAAACATGTTAGATATTAATATTTCAGTTGCAGTAGCACTTTCTGTAACCAGGTTGAGATACTGAACATGTTAGACACAGTTAGCATCTGTGTACAAATGGTTTACCATAACAAATTGACATGCTAGACATCTCGGTTTACAGTTGGTTAGCACTTATGGGTTTGTAAAACGGACCGAACGTGCTTGGTATTTATATCTAATCATTTCTCACCTTAAATTAATGTTAAAAAAAAAAAAAGGTAAAACTTACTTGTGCATCATGTTGTAGTTTTAAATAACTGTTGACATTCAATTTGTTTTTTTTAAGTTAGTATCCGAGACACCTTGAGTATACTTTCCTTGTAAGCTTTTCACTATAAGTAGTCTTATTTTTTTCATTATGTATTTGACAAATGAGAGTAGAGAGAAATCTCTGTTGCTTTCAAAATACTTCAATGCCATATGAAATACTTTTCTTTGTTTTCTATCCAGATCATCATTCAGATTTTCTAAATCGTGATCATTAGTAGTCTCTTTTGTGTTATTGTGAAGCTTCTTAGTTTTTAATACCATTTTTACTTGATAAATGGATTTTTTACACGCACTAAAAAAAAAAAAATATACACGCGCGTTTGTGTAATATCATTCACAGGATATGTCACGCAGGAGTTGATCTGCATCATAGTAAAATTCGAATTTACATAGTAAAATTTTACAATCAAGTGACTTCTAATCCCCATTTAATAC